GTGCGTTTCCTATAAGTCTTCCTACCAATATGACCAAGTTGCGAAAACAAGGTCAAACAAATTCTATAAGAATTCTTCATTGCAAATCTCCAAAAACCTAAGATCAGCTTTAATTGGCAACAAAGAAATCGTGATGCTTTATGCATCACACCACCCTTATTATTTATAATGATCCTGAGTGGAACCTCCTCTTTGTGGATTTTGGGCAGATAATATGCAATAGGAGGTATAGCATCACATTAAAGAAATGCATTCATTTTATATTTTTCCAATTATCCACTATTAACTAACTTTTGCAGGCAATTCTTAAGTCTCGATTTTAGTGTTTCTGTAGAGTCCTTAGTTATAATTATATACGTATCAACATGAGCTAAAGCCAGCATCATGTTTTCTATACGATCAGTCCTATCTATAACTACCACTGCTCCTCAAAACTATTTGCTCGTGTTGTATAAGCTTCGTTGTGATATTATTAACACATCTATTCTTATTTTGTGGTTCTACATGGTTATCAATTAGGGGAGCAACCTGCATTTCTAATACTAAAATCTCATCAGTGAAACTCTTATTATTTGACAAAGCATAATTAAGACCTCTGGAAATGGGGAGGCAATAGAAATCAACAAAACAGCCAACACCATGAATAGAAGGAATGAGTGTAGGAAGTTAAGTGGGAACTCCTTGTGGCTCTTGGAGAGGATTAGAGATAGAGGGGGGAGGCCACGAGAAGCACCACCGAGCAAGAGGTGGCTTGATTAGGTCCGAATCTGGTTTCGATTCTCATATCATTCTCATTTCAAGAGTAATGCACTCATACAACACGTATGCAATGGAACGTAATCACATGCGGTAACATTGCAGGATCAAAGGAATACGTGTTTTAGAGGAGGATACAGCTGTTCGGTTTCAATTGCACCTGTTTCACGCTTCATCTGCAGCCACTTCACATACCATCCGCAACCACTTAACTTTTGAGCAAGCATTTAGGCAAGGCATATGATATCCCACGCAAACATGAGATGCCTAAGTAAGTGAACCAATTCGGACTATGAGAAGTAGGAAGGTTTGATGCCGGCCACATTTCTTGTCTTCGTGGTATTGGTGAATTATCGTTAAGCCTGGTGTCCTGCTCTAACAATGTCTGCCACATGACGGACGAAAGCTCAGCAAGGATTCATCGGAGTCACAGGGCGGCGCGTAGAAGACTAATTCGCACAAGTCTACAATCACAGCTCCAAGGCAATCCCCCTACAGCTTCCAGTGGAACCAACTTACGAATCCCTTCCACTCGCCTCTTCAAGCGAAATGAAAGGTATTCCAGCTACTTCTTTTTTTCCCTTTGATTGGGTTTTCAAGACTACTAGTAAATCAGATATATGAGCTATATTCACTCTTCCTACTTACTTTAATGTATGCAATTCACGTATGTATGTTGATAGATCGTAAAAAGTAGATAGTATGACGGTCCAGTGATAAGCACCACTTTGCAGGAAAGAGCATAGAGGTATCTACCAGATCTAGCAAGGACAAACTCATCGACTATATTTAGAGGACAAGACTCCTGAGGTCATAGGTACTAGATGAGGCTACGTTAGCTGTCGATTAAATAAGCCAATCAAGTGGAAGAGTAATTGTGCTCATCATTAAAGAAGTTCGCCTAAATTGAATTACTGCCCCACAATCCAAAGACAACTTGAAAGGGCTGGAATTCTGTTGTATGCAGGAACTTAGAGGATGCAGGCAATTTTTGTTTTTTTTTAAAGAAAAAGTCTAAGGCCGGACTTCTTGTTTCCAACTGTCTGACTTCATCCTGTGTTCTTGAAGCTGCCAGTGCATCTCATGTTTTGTCATAGTGTGAATGCCATATTTAAATGGATTTGTCTTATCTTTTAACATGATCCCTTTTGAAACAGTGGGCTGAAATCTAGCCAGAGTGAAGTACCATTTTTACATTAACAACAACAAAAACAATAACGGAAAACCGTATGTAGGTCATGCGAAGAAGATTTTGGTCTCAAGGACTCTCTTGGTTCATAATAACTGACCTCCCTTTCATTCAAAATGACAGTTTGTGGTGAATGGATTCTAAGGTCGAACCCATCAAAAGACGAAGGTGGATTCCTCTTGGCCACCTGTCAATTGGCTTTGCAAGAACATCCTTGTTGACGTTGTTTTCGAGGAAATTGCCTCAAATTCCGGTGAAAAAATCCGTCATATAAAGGATATCACATAAAAAGGCATCATTATTGTAACCATATTGACGCTAATGAGTCCAATAAAATAATTAGTACATCAGTTTTTTATTCATAAATTATAATGAAGTATAGATAGACTTTTTCCGACACCTCTATTAGCAAAAAGGAAAATTCATAATTAAGGGGGATCTTCATCGAATAAAGATGTATTCTAGGACTTCTCATCTTACATATTTCACTTCTTATTGAAATAATTAGGATGACATCAAGCAAGGTCGAGAATATTTAAAACAGTCGGCCAAAAAGAGCTCAGAGTAGCATAGTCTCGCCATTCGTGGGCTTTCAGAATTTATAAATCAGATTCATGCTATATACTAAGAGGTATCTAAAAAATTGAACTGAAAATTATTTTAAAAATAACGTGGGCACAAATAACGCCAACAATTATATTTCCAATTACTTCACCTCCAACAAATAAATGCGTAGATCCAATTATAGTTTTTCATCTAGCCCTTTAGTCTAAAATGTAATGCTTCGTCTCTAATCAAGTCAATCGTTAGCTGGCCTTGAATATATTTTTAGGATAAGAAGCATAGGGGCTTTTCATCCAGGTCGCTAAAATGCCTAATCACAGCTCGACAAATCAGTTAGCCAAAGGACTTTTTATGCATTATCATTCAATGAAGTAAGAATCTCACTATAATAGTGTATAAATCAAAGTGATTTCATTTAGATATCAACAAAGCAAAAAAATAAATATTATAACAAATAAAAAAATGCCTTGATGCAGGCTATTAGTATTATGTGATAAAAGTATTTCAGATTTGATCATTACGAAAGCCAAATTTCCATAACTGTAAATGTAACTTTTGTTCTGCTCCATATGATTAATAAAAAGTATGATCCTTTATTCAAATTTTGCAGAAAAGTATGAAAGTAAAAAAAGAAGGAGTGCCCTCCTTACTTCAGTTTGGCGTAGCCTAACTTAAAATTTTTTAACTTATCATAAGCATTTGCCTCAATAATGCAAGCAAATAGCATATTGTGCCCTACAGGCTATAGGTTAAATAAGCTTGTAAATAGGAAAGCATGCGTCTGTAGGGGGAGGGGGGAATATGCTTAGTGAAGGAGTGTAGCCCACCTAATCGAGTTTAACTCTTTTTTTTTAATTTTATTTAAACCTCCCAACACAGACTGAGTACATCTTCTGTCACGAATGCGCAGCTGAGTTTGTCGAGGTTATCAAGCGCCATAGTCAGGAATACCGAGAGCAAGAGTCCGAGGACAGCTTCGACACAGCAAATGCAGATACAGAAACGGCAGGTAACGCCAATGGTTGCTTCCATTCTATTCCCAATGATGAGAATGAAATAAATGAAGCGTCCATAGGAATCAACCAGGGCTGCTCGGAGAACACACTACGCAAAGAAATAGAGATGGAAGAAAGTTCACTCAAAAGGGACAAGTACAGTCTGGTGATGGCAGACAGAGACTTTGAGAAACCGTCGATGGAGCCCCGAAACAGATCTCTCCCCAACCAAACAAGTGTCCAGTGGGAACAGACTGAGTCTATTCCGGTTATTTGCGACCAAATAAAAGATTCAAGAGTTCATGCTTGTGTCGGATGGACAGAGTCTGGGGACTCATTCGAAAAGTCGAACAACATTGCCTCACTCTCGCGGCCGGTAGCTAGCAATGAGGACTTGGATATAACTTTTGAGTGCATGATTGAACCCAATCAAAAGACATCTTTTGGATGTTGGCCACAAGCTGAATATGGCTTCCATGAGCCTGAAGCAGAAAACGGCTTGTCAAGCATTAGTAACTGTAACATAATAAACGGAGGCTGCTGGAGCATGCAACCAACCTATGATACCCAGAGGAGAATGGATGGAGAGGTGAGACTAGGTCCTTCTTAAGGTCATGCCACAAAGCAAATAGTCACTAGTATAAATGAAAACACTCTGCATGCACACTAGTACCAAATTATATGCTCAAATAAACATGCTCTCATGCATGCTAGGTATCAATACAGATACATAAGATGGGCAAGCATTTTTAAGATACCTACAGTTTCCCTCACATCCAGATATGCGAACCGCATGGAGATTTGTCTTATCTTTTTTCAGAGCCTCCTATCAGGTTATTTGATTATGAAGCATTATTTAACATCATGAAACAGACCAACAAGAACAAGGATATATAAATCTTCTTGAGAAAGCTCGATAGATTAGGTACCTACTTTTAAGTTCAATTCAAATCATACTTCATACTGTAGAGCTTCTTAAGGTGAGAAGATGCGTAACCACATTTTTTTCTTGACTTGGTTTTGTAGCTAAAATTGGCCCTTTCTCAAGTATGAGTAATAATTTCTCAATTAATTAACCAGAATAAATTTTTCAAGACATGCCAAGACTTAATTTGTATCATCAACCATTTATCGGTCGTTAATTCATATTAATAATTATGTGGCTAGATCTATTATAGATGATGATGAGACCCGAAAAAGGTCGAAACTGCAGCACAATATAAGTAAAATTTGGGGTGCATGGGACAGTGGATTTCAGCTATTACCAACTGACAAAAGATGAGACTTGACACCTGTTGAAATTTAATGACATTTGCAAGTCCGAGATCGGCGTGGCAACACAAATAACTTAAAATTAATAGTCGATGCACAAATACATTTAGATGGATGTTCATCGACAATTTTATATACATATGCACTAAATAGGATCTATTTAATCCTAGTAAATATATAATAAAAGCTCATTTAACTGGGCCTGCCTGATTAAATACAAAGTTGGAGTTCAGATTAGACGCTAGCCCCTCGAAGAGTTATTTTAAGATGATATTCTGCAGTTATTACGGTTTCCATTCCAGAACTAATGGGCTAAACAGCCCTTACCTGAGCCTCTTGAAATCGGTTCTTCCTAAAGGTATTGAGAATACTCACTTGCTCATAGGGTTGTGCTTCTTTAGCATACTGACGCAGGTGGTCATTTTTAACCGATGGCATGTAGAACGCGCCAGATATGTCAAACTAATTACACTTATAGAAACAGATCTGCATGCTTGTGTACACAATGCCTTTGATACAAAAATATAAGAATATGGGCTGGAAAATAGCTTAAATCTAGGCACGCTCTGAAATTTGTTTCTTTCATCGTGACCACATGATAACCACACTAAGAAGTATGACGAAGGCCCAGAGCCAAAGGTAACTAGTGGAATTTCCCAACAATCCTCTGTGCTAGTATTTATTTAATTGTCTTAGTGACAACGGACAGAATTCCGCAAGACTAAATCTCTTTTCATTTGCACAGCCCAATTTCGCCCGGTCACGTCGCACGCTGCCTCCTCGATCCGCCTGCATACAGAACGGACTTCTGCCCTGTTCTGGCCAATACTTAACAGCCACCAGCCTGCCATCTCTATCACCTGGTTCGAGTCAATTTAGGGCCACCGAGAGAGCCGAGTCTGTACCAAATAGTTCCCAAGTCACAACCGGACTCTTTTCCATGTTTTCCGGCCTCATCAATGCAGTAAAAAGTCACATTCCTAGAGAAGTAAATATAAAATTGCCACCACAAGAGCAGCGACTAGCAACTCAGCACCAAAAGCAAACCACGAGTGCTTATACTGAAATATATCGTCCCCCCGAAGTGCCTTTCAGCCAGGCTCCCAGGAATTATCCAGAAGAGCGTAGAAATCTTCTTAGACCCCGACCCCCAGCGCTAGGGTCCAGGTGCCTACCAGAGCTACCGATTGCGAAAACAGTCCCAATTCTAAGAAAATCCGGCGACAACTCTGGCTACCCATACAATTTCCTGGCTTCCGCCCGAGATTACCAGACGTGTCAAGATGAAGATGACGGATTGATCCCAACAGCGGCCTGGCCTGGAGCTAGGGTCGATCCCAGTTATCCTTATTATGCCTCAACTCATTCAAAATATCAGCAATTATCATTGCCAGTAGAGATAGCAGCCCAACCATCGGCAGCCATACCGCGCTATGCTGGCCAGTTAGGATACATGCAAACAGGACAATCAGGTAGTTGTGTATCTGCTCTCCCTGGATGGGCCGAATGGAACCGTCCGGAGGCGTATGATGCAATTCGCTGAGAGCGCCAGCAGTGACAAATTATGGTCCTCTGAACATAAATATTTAGAACAGATATTTCTAACCTTTGCTTAAGACGCATCACTTGCGGATAGCAGGGTTCGTATGCCCATCAAGGATTTGGTGGAATGAAATGGTTTGCTGATGCCCTTGTTTTAGTCAATCTTTTGTTCAACCTAAACACTTCAACACACCCAACTTAAAAATCAAAACCCGGGCTATGCTGTGTTAACTCCGTCTACACATCAATTCTTCCACTTGCTTTAGACCTCTATCACAAAACACGAAGCAGCTCGGTAGTTATTAAAGAAACATCGCTAGCTACTTGACAAAAACTTGAGCTTGCTTTATAAAGTGCCAATAGAGAAAGAGCAAATTTGGACTAAAGACATTTTTCAATTTATAGACGATATTTTACATTATTATATAAACGTATCTACAGACATAAACACGAGCATGTATATGCAAAATCAAAGTATATCTTATGTCCAGCACAATACAGATCTTCCTTTTTTGTAAGATTCTTTTGGCTGCTGCCTATTTATTTTATGCTAAAAAAACTTCGTCGAATTCGAAGTCTTCCCAGCATTGTACAACCCAACTATGACAGTCCTATTTTTAGACATCTGTATGCATAACTAATATCTTGTGTAAAATCCTAGCCAATCTATTGAAAAAATTGTATTTGAAAAGAAGTTTATAAGGACTAACATATTGAAGCCTCTGACAACTATTGAATGCATCCAGCTTCTTCAATCAGAGGGATATTGCGCTGATTCTAATTAATTAGTAGAATGCTGATCTATTTTTCCTACTTCCGAATACAGATAACCAAACCCACAATGTTATTGATTTATGCATTATAGGAGTCTTCGCGGGAGCACCTTTGTTTAAGTATTCACAGCCATTGTATACAATATATCCGACCAACCATAAGACACAAAATACCAATGCTACCCGAAAATATATATAGCGAAGCGATTTTTTTAATCTATGCAATTGAGGATGACAGTGGCACAAGCTTTCTCAAAAATCTTTTGACTTGATGAAGTTTTTTCTTATTTACGAGTGACAATATGGTAGTGAGGAAGGGGATCATGTAATTCAAATTCGATATCGTAGCCCTCCTCTTCGCTCAACCTAGTCAAAAAGGACTTGTTGCAACATGATCTCTTCACGGACTATGCGGAAAGCATCACATGCGGATGGCAGGGTTCGTATGCTATATCCCAATTAAGCAAGCCCGAGTGAACTGTCTAGATTTTTTTATATTCTCCAACTGACTAAGGATAGTGTTCTGAAGATGAACAG